CCCTCCGCGCCCGGGCCCTCCGGCGTGCCAACGCCACCCCCCAAGAGAGCGGGCCACTCGGGGGTCGCCTCCTGCCAGTCCGCACGGGCTCCGAGCCAGCGGGAGCGGCGTGACCAGGGCACAGGCGCGGCCGCCACCTCCCCTTCCGTCGCCCTCTTCCCACCCCTCCTCCTCTCCGCGCGCACTCTGCGGCGAACAAGGAGCTGGCCCCCGGCCGCCTCCCCCGCCACCGTCCCTGGGTTCGAGCACTGAACTGGCAGCTCAGGCCACCGGGGCCCAGTCGGCGACTGGCCCGAAGGATTAAGGGGCGTGCGAGCCCTGCCTTGGTGGGCGCTGCTAGCAGATGCTCCCGCAACAGCTGCCACCCCGGCGGCAGCTCCCGGGGTTCTCGCCGGTGCGCTTTTTTTTTTTTTTTAAGTTCTGAGCTCGCAGTACTTGAGCAAAGACGACGAGATCTCGCGAGATGCTGTGGGCGAAAGAGCCGCTTCTCTCCTCCTCGCCTCGCCCCCCTCATTACCCCCACCAGGCGCTTGGTACCCGAAGCCGGTCTGGAGCCGCCTGCTGCCCCTCGCTCCTCCGAGTGATGCTGGGCTTTCCCGTGAAGCGCACTGGCTCCTGCCGAGGCGCCGGCGAGCGGTGCAGACTGGGCGGCCTGCTCCAGCCTCCAACCGGCTGCTACTTCCCATATTCACTGCAGGCCTAAGCCGGGCAGGGGGGGTGGGGGCGGGCAGGATTTCCTCTGTGCAGCTTTTGAGGCAATCGACTTGGCCCTGCCTGGCAGTTAGAACCATGCTATAATTCCTTTCGTGATGTAGTGGATGTGTACACACATCTGATGACATCGTTATTTTAAAAGCAGTGATCTTTGATGAGAAGGGGACCGTTGTCATAGCTTACTGTTCAGAACTAGATTGAGGTATTTCCATAAATGTTTAGAAGCTCAGCATTCAAAGAATACACAGAAGACAGTAACTGGGAAGTTTCTGTTTTGTGAAGAACTGTTGGTCTTAAGACAGGAAAATGTTCTCCTCTGCAGGCTTGTTGTCGGTAAAATATGAAGGGAATTATATTCCAACTTTCTTGGCCACAGAACCCGTTTTTAACCTAAATTGTAACCCAAACCAACCAAACTGAACTCATTGCCATCACCCAACAAAGTCGGAGAAGGACTCCTTTGCAATTCTTTAAGGCCTCATCATTCCAGAGTGGCTCCTGGTTTTCAACTGCTGCTGGCCTTGAGGGTAACAGCCCAACACATAACCACTATGTCACCAGGCTCCTAATTGCACCCTTAGCCCTAAGTTAAAAACAAACAAACAAAGCATAGCAGCAATCCGTGGCTTTCTCTAAGAACTTGTGTATTGTCTATATTTAAAATGTTTATAGATTGACACATCATCCCTTGCTGAATCCTTGAAGCATAATCAGAGTGCGAATTTACAAAGTATATGAAAGCGCTCAGAATGAAAGCTGTAACCAGGCAATGTTTTTAAAATTATCATATCTGTGATCTTCCTTGACCTTTACAACTTTTCATCTCCTTTTTCTATATTTTAAAGATAAACAAGGAACAGCTCTTGCATCATGATGCTGGTAATGTTTAAATCGCCTTTTGAGCTTTAGCAATATTACTAATACAGAAAGCC